ACCTAAACAGCAGTGCCACAAATAAGTTGCACTATCATTATTAACTTTGCATCTTTTGGCTTCAATATTATGAATATGTGTAACACTACGATCGAGATCCAACGAACTATTTTCATTGGGTGTATGACCATCGAAGGTTTTATTCATGTAAACAGAACAACAATTATTCTCTGACTTTAATGAATAACCGTATTGCAATAAACATGATCAAATTATATTCATGCTCAACGCAAACACCAAATAACACTTATTTAGTTTCAACACTAATCCCAAAAGTATAGGGAGTGTGCGATGATGATCATAGCAATCTTGGAACTACTTCCAACACACATCGTCACCTCACCCTTTACTAGTTTCTGTTTATTCTGCAACTCCTGTTTTGAGTTACTACTCTTAGCAACTGAACCAGTATCAAATGCCGAGGGGTTGCTATAAACACTAGTAAAGTACACATCAATAACACGTATATCCAATATACCTTTGTTTACCTTGCCATCCTTCTTATCCACCAAATACTTGGGGCAGTTTTACTTCCAGTGACTAGTCCCTTTGCAGTAGAAGCACTTAGTCTCAGGCTTAGGATCAAACTTGGGCTTCTTCACTTGAGCAGCAACTTGCTTGCCGTTCTTCTTGAAGTTCTCCTTCTTCCCTTCGCCCTTTTCTTGAAACTAGTGGTCTTGTCAACCATCAACACTTGATATTTTTCTTGATTTCTACCTTCGTTGATTTCAGCATCACGAAGAGCTTGGGAGTTGTTTCCGTTATCCCTTGCATATTATAGTTCATCACGAAGTTCTACTAACTTGGTGATGGTGACTAGAGAATTCTGTCAATCACTATCTTATCTGGAAGATTAACTCCCACTTGATTCAAGCGATTGTAGTACCCAGACAATCTGAGCACATGCTCACTAGTTGAGCGATTCTCCTCCATCTTTTAGCTATAGAACTTTTTGGAGACTTCATATCTCTCAACTCGGGTATTTGCTTGAAATATTAACTTCAACTCCTGGAACATCTCATATGGTCCATGACGTTCAAAACGTCTTTGAAGTCCCGATTCTAAGCCATTAAGCATGGTGCACTAAACTATCAAGTAGTCATCATATTTAGCTAGCCAAACCTTCATAATGTCTGCATCTGCTCCTGCAATAGGTCTGTCACCTAGCGGTGCATCAAGGACATAATTCTTCTGTGCAGAAATGAGGATAAACCTCAGATCACGGATCCAATCCGCATCATTGCTACTAACATCTTTCAACACAATTTTCTCTTAGGAACATATCAAAATAAACATAGGGAAGCAACAACGCGAGCTATTGATCTACAACATAATTTGCAAAATACTACCAGGACTAAGTTCATGATAAATTTAAGTTCAATTAATCATATTACTTAAGAACTCCCACTTAGATAGACATCCCTCTAATCCTCTAAGTGATCACGTGATCCGAATCAACTAAACCATGTCCGATCATCACGTGAGATGGAGCAGTTTCATTGGTGAACATCACTATGTTGATCATATCTACTATATGATTCACGCTCGACCTTTCGGTCTCCGTGTTCCGAGGCCATATCTGTATATGCTTGGCTCGTCAAGTATAACCCGAGTATTCCGCATGTGCAACTGTTTTGCACCCATTGTATTTGAACGTAGAGCCTATCACACCCGATCATCACGTGGTGTCTCAGCACGAAGAACTTTCGCAACGGTGCATACTCAGGGAGAACACTTCTTGATAATTAGTGAGAGGTCATCTTAAAATGCTACCGTCAAACTAAGCAAAATAAGATGTATAAAAGATAAACATCATATGCAATCAGAATATGTGACATGATATGGCCATCATCATCTTGCGCCTTTGATTTCCATCTCCAAAGTACTGTCATGATCTCTATCGTCACCGGCATGACACCATGATCTCCATCATCTTGATCTATATCAATGTGTCATCACGTGGTCGTCTCGCCAACAATTGCTCTTGCAACTTGCTATCGCATAGCGATAAAGTAAAGCAATTATTGGGCGCTTGCATCTTATGCAATAGAGAGACAACCATAAGGATTTTGCCAGTTGCCGATAACTTTAACAAAACATGATCATCTCATACAACAACTTATATCTCATCACGTCTTGACCATATCACATCACAACATGCCCTGCAAAAACAAGTTAGACGTCCTCTACTTTGTTGTTGCAAGTTTTACGTGGCTGCTACGGGCTTAAGCAAGAACCAATCTTACCTACGCATCAAAACCACAATGATAGTTTGTCAAGTTGGTGATGTTTTAACCTTCGCAAGGACCGGGCGTAGCCACACTCGGTTCAACTAAAGTTGGAGAAACTGACACCCGCCAGCCACCTGTGTGCAAAGCACGTCGGTAGAACCAGTCTTGCGTAAGCGTACGCGTAATGTCGGTCTGGGCCGCTTCATCCAACAATACCGCCGAACCAAAGTATGACATGCTGGTAAGCAGTATGACTTATATCGCCCACAACTCACTTGTGTTCTACTCGTGCATATAACATCAACACATAAAACCTAGGCTCGATGCCACTGTTGGGGAACGTAGTAATTTCAAAAATTTCCTACGCACTCGCAAGATCATGGTGATGCATAGCAATGAGAGGGGAGAGTGTTGTCTATGTACCCTTGTAGACCGACAGCGGAAGCGTTATGACAACGCGGTTGATGTAGTCGTACGTCTTCACGGCCCGACCAATCAAGCACTGAAACTACGGCACCTCTGAGTTCTAGCACACGTTCAGCTCGATGACGATCCCCAGACTCCGATCCAGCAAAGTGTCGGGGAAGAGTTCCGTCAGCACGACGGCATGGTGATGATCTTGATGTTCTACCGTCGCAAGGCTTCGCCTAAGCACCGCTACAATATTATCGAGGATTATGGTGGAGGGGGGCACCGCACACGGCTAAGAGAACGATCACGAAGATCAACTTGTGTGTCTATGGGGTGCCCCCTGCCCCCGTATATAAAGGAGTGGAGGAGGGGAGGGGCGGCCCTCTTTATGGCGCGCCCTAGGGGAGTCCTACTCCCACCGGGAGTGGGATTCCCCCTTTCCTAGTCCAACCAGGAGTCCTTCCATGTAGTAGGAGTAGGAGACAAGGAAGGTGAAGAGGGAAGTGAAGGAAGGAGGGGGAGCAGCCCCTCCCCTTAGTCCAATTCGGACTAGGCCTTGGGGGGTGGGCACGGCCTGCCTCTCCCTCTTCCCTAAAGCCCAATAAGGCCCATATACTTCTTCTCCCGTATTCCCGTAACTCCCCGGTACTCCGAAAAATACCCGAACCACTCGGAACCTTTCCGATGTCCGAATATAGTCGTTCAATATATCGATCTTTACGTCTCGACCATTTCGAGACTCCTCGTTATGTCCCTGATCTCATCCGGGACTCCGAACTCCTTCGGTACATCAAAACTCATAAACTCATAATATAACTGTCATCGAAACCTTAAGCGTGCGGACCCTACGGGTTCGAGAACAATGTAGACATGACCGAGACACGTCTCCGGTCAATAACCAATAGCGGAACCTGGATGCTCATATTGGCTCCTACATATTCTACGAAGATCTTTATCGGTCAGACCGCATAACAACATACGTTGTTCCCTTTGTCATCGGTATGTTACTTGCCCGAGATTCGATCATCGGTATCTCAATACCTAGTTCAATCTCGTTACCGGCAAGTCTCTTTACTCGTTTCGTAATACATCATCTCGCAACTAACTCATTAGTTGCAATGCTTGCAAGGCTTATGTGATGTGCATTACCGAGAGGGCCCAGAGATACCTCTCCGACAATCGGAGTGACAAATCCTAATCTCGAAATACGCCAACCCAATATGTACCTTTGGAGACACCTATAGAGCTCCTTTATAATCACCCAGTTACGTTATGACGTTTGGTAGCACACAAAGTATTCCTCCGGTAAACGGGAGTTGCATAATCTCATAGTCATAGGAACTTGTATAAGTCATGAAGAAAGCAATAGCAACATACTAAACGATCGAGTGCTAAGCTAACGGAATGGGTCAAGTCAATCACATCATTCTCCTAATGATGTGATCCCGTTAATCAAATAACAACTCTTTGTCTATGGTTAGGAAACATAACCATCTTTGATTAACGAGCTAGTCAAGTAGAGGCATACTTGTGACACTCTGTTTGTCTATGTATTCACACATGTATTACGTTTCCGGTTAATACAATTCTAGCATGAATAATAAACATTTATCATGAAATAAGGAAATAAATAATAACTTTATTATTGCCTCTAGGGCATATTTCCTTCAGTTGGCATGTGTTTTATCGATTTCAGAAATGAAACTGGTGGTGCTGGGTTCCTCTTACCAAAAATAAAAACTCCCTCCATTCCCTTATACAAGGTCACAAACTCAAATTACAGGTACCAAGGTAAAATTTAATGACTACTTTGCAAGTCCATTTTTCTTTTCATTAACAGGGATCATTAATATGCCCACATGCATGCAAGAAAGGAATTAGAAGGAAGTAGCACAGTATCATTATGACTACATGCATGAAGTATTAAAACCGTTGATAATACGAGAAAACATCATTAATTTTTACCTCGATTACAGTTAATGGCCTTGTATAGATGCAAATTGTATTTTTTTTATAATGGCCTTGTATAAGGGAATGGAGGAAGTACCTTTAGGCCATGAAGCTCCTAGGTTTAGTTAGAAGAGGGTCCAAAAGACGGCTCACCTAAAGGCCCAATATGTTTTCCATCTTTACTATTAAGGATCGAACGTCGCGCTCTCCCTTCGCATGATCGCACGCAGTTAAAAAAAACTACCCCTCGCGACTTGGTTACACCTCCCCTCGCAGCCTTCCTTTGCTCAATTAAAATAAATAAAAAAACAGGACCCGCGTCCCGTCTCCCAGTCTTCCCCACCTCTCTCCCGATCCATCCTCTCTCTCGATCCCGTGAGGAGAATCGCGGCCGCAGCCTCCGCCCCGATGCTCGTCTCGCTCGCTGTGGCACAGCCCGTGCAAGCCGCCCTTGTACGGCCTCCTCTCCTTCACCACCGCAACAATCGTCGCTTCCATGGACTATGTCGACGAAGTCTTCGGAGGTTGACCCCTGTGGGGAAGCTGGCGGGAGCTCGCGGCCAACCAGATCCAGTGCAGTGCCGCCGATGTCTGGGTGGAAGACGGGCGCTAGCTTCCTGGGTCAGCATACCACCGGGCAGGAGGGCAGACGGATGACGGAGGCTCTCCAAGGAGGAAGTCGACCAGCCTGTCACCAGGGGAAGCCGACCAACATATATAGGCATGGTTGTCATTGACGGAGATTGTGAGTTTTGATTTTTTTTGCTGATAGGTTTTCGCCCCATAGCCTCTACTTCTTCTGCTAATAGCTAGCCATGATCTTGATCTATTGGTGGTTCGTGATGGATGACTATCCTTTGTTTCTCTTGATTGGATTTGGTGTAGGGGTGGACTATCTTTGAGATCCTACGGTACATGTGAGCATAACTGGTCGGCGTACGAGGAGGCCCTCAAGGACAATCCGGTTCTTGCCAAGATGATGGTCAGCGGCGGCTTCTACTCCCTCGGCGACTGGATAGCCCAGGTGCCAATCCAATCCAATTCTTTTACATCCCCTTTCTGCTGCTGCAATAGCTAATTCGGTTCGTTCTTGTTTATGTTGCTCCTAATTGTTTTATTTGTTGATGTTTAAGTAGAAATTGAATTAACAGGAGCTTACTTGCTCTACCTTTTGGTATTGTTGTACGCAATAAAGCCTTCCTCCTGCTAACGGAAATTTAGCTGATTCATGTCATGATTAACCAGATTTTTTGTTGCATATAGTTCAGTCCTCATATAGTTCAGTGAAATGATGGATTTGGACCAGCGCACTATGGATCGTTGATGAAGTTCAAGAAACTACAAATAGAAAATGATTGGTACAAAGTGAGGCCCAAGCTGTCCTGCTAATGTGCACTCCAGATAATAATTAATCGTGCACTTGAAGTAGCATGTTCTTCCAGATAATATATCTTCATGTCCATGTCTTCTTATATAATCAACTAATTAGCGTACCTACTACTCTAGCATTTCTGAGAAAAATAACAATGATAAGGACAGGTGCTCTGCTAGCTAAACTGAAGTAAAATATACTATGCAGGCATTTGAATACTTTGGTGAAATGCCAATTACTTCTCTGTAAGGGTAATAAGATAAAGATTGATGCCTCATGTGCAATCAACAGAAGTGACAAAGTATTGTCTTCTAAAAATTATATAAGCTTGAGTTGTCATGATAACCAAACATTGTACATTACCAAGATATTTTTTACTAAACCGAAATAGAATAAGGTGCTAATACTTCTGTTGCACAAATCTGTAGGTTTGCTCATTAAGTACATGCACTGATGATGTTTGTGGTACCAGGGTGCTCGAGCGCGATGACATGCCTACTGAGTTCCTAGCGCTCGCGAACGCCAGAGTTGGACGCGCCCATGCATGCATTTTAGCTCCGAGGATGGCATCGAGAACGTACACACTCAGGTGCTCCTCAGCAGCAGTTGATCCACGTGGGGTTCTATTTGAGTTCCTCCGTCCCCTGGCAGCGAGGCAGCAGGTCCCTGTCCCCCCTCTCCGTCTCCGGCATGTTGATCCGGTGGCGTCACAGCGGTGGCGTGTGTGGTGTCATGTCATAATAAGGTAGCATCTTTTCTTTCCCCACCCTAATTTTTGTGGTCAGCGTCCGGAGTCCAACCTACCAATCGTTGTCCCCAAACCTCACCGACTTCTTCTGTGGGTGCTCTTTCTCCCCCCTCTCTCATTTCACTTGACGCTGATAGCTGATTGCTAGCATCCTCAATTGTGCTCTTGTCTTCTAAATTTGGCATGGTATGCATTTGCTTGAGATGAGGGTATGGGATGGAGGTGGCTCTAATTTTGAGGCTGTGGTTTATTGGGCTTATAATTTCGACATGATTAATGATATGAATCGTATGTTCTGTTTTCCACAATATAGCTTTTTTCTATGCAATATGAGGCTACGTTTCAAGTTATTATTATCTATTGCTTGCATTCGATGGTTGTACAGTAACATGCTCTCTGAGAAAAGGTTATGTTTCATGTTATTATTATCTATTGCCTTGCATTCGATGGCAAATAGACAACCGATGTGTCATATCTTTGCCCACTCAGGATGCCGATAAACAGTTCAAAAAAATAGAAAGACTTATATATTTCACCATGCTAGCTACATATGTTTATGATGGTTTATTTTCACCAAAATTTTGCTGCACTTTCACAGTTGAGAGAAGTTGAGCAACACACAGTTCCGAAACTGTGCACTGCACAAGGAAGGAAACACTGTAGTATTAGCTGTTGTAATCTACGAAATTTTGTACTGCGTGAGTAAGGTTAAGAATGGCCAACTGATTGAACTTGTTCACAACATTAATAGTAGTCATGATAAACTTATTATTCCTGACTTTCTATGTCTTGTTGTTTTCTACTGTGGACCTATTTGCAGGTTTTTACAGAGGAATTAGTTTACGTGATACTGGTTCACTTGCTACAGCTGAAACATATTTTGATGTTATTGTTATTGACTGGAGCACACTAATCCTAATCTAAGAGGTCATTTCTCTCACTTATTTGCTGGAGGAGTTAGAGAGAAGATATTTTCTATGACTACTGTGTTTTCTTTCCAGAAAATCTGCATGACGCGGTGTAAAATTTATACTTGTTCTCAGCATGTTACTAGGATCTAGCTGCACAAATGGATTTTTGTATGTCCTGCATGGAGTTCCCAATAAGTTATTCCTTGTCATTTTTAGTGCCACCAATGCATGGGGTCTTTGTATATTAGAACTTTTCATGTCTCTGTTTTGGCTCATGTAATACTTACCGATACAATTTACTTGTTCATCAGAATAATGTGTTGATTCCTTGACACAACATAAGTTTTTTTTAAGCTCATTCTAGGAGATACACTTGCATCTTTTATGTACGTGATGTGCCTTGTGAAGTTATGAAACAAGGAATGTGACCAAGGCTCCAACAAATCATCATCACTAAATGCTACAGAAGGAAATGATCTATGCCATCTGTTTTGTCTAGAGAGATCATGGTGTGAAGGGACTCAATGTAGGGTACTGGTACTGAGTGCTTGCTGCTATAACATATTTATTTTGTTTTCTAATAGAGAAATAAATGAGTTCTTTCGGCCAACAAAAGAAAACATATATTATTTTAAGGAAGTAGCCTTTTGAGTCAACAAATTATTCCCACCATGCCAAAACGGAATCCATGGTAGTCTAGCATACTCGAATACTGTGATACAAGTAGGAGTATAAAATACAAGAAATTTCTTTCTTTATGCGCACATTCCCGGAAGCATGAATGTATGTTCATGGAGAAAACATGGTCAATTTTTGTGTAAAAAAACTGATAATGTTCAATGCATGTTTAGCATGGGCAGCCAGATGTTCTTGTGAATTACTAAGCATATGGATAATTCATCTCTTAAGCATTGCAATCTTGCCTCAGATCTTTCTGTTTGCTCCGCCAGACAAAACCTGGCAGCAATGGGTTGGCCAGTGGGACAAACAGGAAAAGAGAACTGAGAAGTGCCAAGTGGTCTGCTTTGAGTTAGGGGAAATTTTGAAATGGTAACGAAGATCCAGATATGCATGGTAGTCTAGCATACTCATTATTGTTATTGTTAACCTTTTGAAATGGTAACGAAGATCCAGATATGCATACATGATTCTCCGGATGATTTTTTGTAGCCTGCACCAGGAGTGCCCAAGAGCAAAAAGGTTGGGTTTGTACAAGATAATATTTGTTTGAACACACTCATAACCTGCATATGACATACATGACGTAACTTAGTGATAGTTCGACAAATGTCTCTTTGTCTAAGTTTGTTATATATCCCGTGGCAACGCACGGGCATTCGACTAATGTCAGCTAATGGTGTGATACCGAACTGTAATGAGTACAGGTGACTTGTCACAACGGCTGAATAAAGTAAGCCCATTTACAGGTGAATTGCATGTTTGTTCTAACTTGTATTTTCTATATATTCACAAAAATTGTTCAAACAGAAAGATACTTCCACCAATCCATAGTACTTGCTTAAACTTATCTTTTAGTGTTAGATACGAGTAATACGGACGGATCGGAGGAAGTACTAGCAAAAAAAACTGCTCCCTCAGACAGCTCCAAAAACAATTCAAAACCAGTTGTTCTTATAAAAAAGGAACAAAGAGTAATTATATTTACTAGTGTAACCAATTTTTTTTCAAACTCAGCTTAAAAAGTAAACAGCCTGCTAAAATGTTAAACATGCAGTATAGCAGATAAAGGGGTAATTTTTTTAGGAAAAACTACATTGATCAGTCAATATTAAGCTTGTATTGTTGGGGCCCACTCAAAGAGTAGGTACCCTTTAAAAATTATTGTATGCTGCTTAATGTCACGTGCACACGGTATTCTTTAGTAAAAGGCGAAAGAATAGTTCGCTATGTGCTCATGACGCAGCTGCGTGATTTGTTCGGCCGGACGCAGCTCCATTATATAGCCAGTTGGCGGTAGTCCATTCCTCTCTCCGGCGATGTGGGACTATTAGCACGGGACAATGCTTCTTTCTGTTCGGCCGTTCGGGCTGGCATTCGGTGTGGCGGGCGTCTTTTATTCGTGGGCCAAAGAGTGAGTTTAGCCAATTTGTGGGCTGGCATTAGTTAGCCTCACGCTCGGTTACTCAAAAACAAAAACAAAAAAAAAAATAACCTCATGCTCACACCTAAAAAGAAGTCGGCCTCACTCTCTATACATCGCCTCAAGCGGTGTTAAAGTATTGTCTAAAAAAAGCGATGTTATAGTATGCCGGCCCAATATATAGCCTGAATTTTTTTAGGCAGGTACACCTAAAAAAATGCTACGCAGCTCTTTTCCTTCACTTTTTAAATTTTTGATTTCTTTTTTACCTTTTTAATATTTTTAACATACTTACAAATATATTTCAGAAATGAAATACTTAAATTTATTAAAATGTTCATCGCACATTTATCTATTATTCATGGAGTGTATAAACGACGTTCATGCAACATGAAAACAAATTTAATATCGTTAGAAAAAATCATGACATCTCAAATATGTTAATAAAATGTAAAAATTCCATGTAATTATGCCTTCTTGCCTGCCTTCAGTTCCTGCCTTCAGGATGGCCTATGAATGAGACGTCTACTTCCCATTAAGTCAAAATACCTCATAGATATATTTTTTAGGATAATTCATTAGTTATAAAGAGAAAGATGGCTTCTGACAATGTTTTTAGTCCCCTCGTCCCCAAGCAAGAAAATGGATGTGCTAATGTGCAATGATTTTCGCGCTAGTTGCTCAATCCGTTGCTTATTCAGAAGAATCCTCAAATGAATATTCTTTATTTCCTCTCACAAATGCTCCCCTTTTCCATTCGAATGTAGATGATTGAACAAAATGTTTCATGTGATTCAAAAAATGTTTATGGTATTTTAAAAATGTTCTTATTTTTCAAAATATATGTTTGTGACATTTCCAAATATATGTACACAATTTTTAAAATTGCCTGCAGAATTAAAAAATGTTTTGTGCCATTCAAAAAATGTTCATGGCATTTAAAAAACTTGTCCGCACTTTTTTAAAGATGTGTTCTTGACATTTTAAAAATACTTATACAGTGCAAAGTTGTTTAATGCAGTTGAAAAATGTTCAGCGTGTACAAAAAAATGTTATTCGTGCATAAAAAAGGTAGATTTTTTTGAAAAATAAAAAAATTGATGAAAACATAGAGAGAAAAAAAGAAGGAAAAACTACACGAAAGGTTCTAAACCCGATCTGAACCGGCACATAACCCAAAACCGCAACGGGGCTATAGTGTTAGGCCGACCCATTTAGTCAAGCGCGAGAGGCTCAGAAGGAGCGAGATATAGCCCTGGTGAATCAGAGTGATTTATATAAAAAATTCCAGATCGGGGTTGATTCTTCAGTGCCTTGTTCCTGGACACAGTGTGTTGGATTACAGATTAGGTGCTCTCGTTGCCTTGAGAATGGCCAACGAGCACGTGAGTATCGCACTGCCTAGTGTTCGCTCTGCTTGTTGGCAAACCTTGCCACGTCGTCGGCATCCCGCCTTGCCAATGGGAATTGCCAAGCACCAGGCCCATTCCAAGGCAATTCGGTGTGATTCATGGGCGTTGGTTGTATCCGCTCCCATGGGCTTGGTAACCCAAGGCCAGGTTCTGCGCTCTAAAGTGTTAACCTTGGGTTCATTCCAGCTAAAGGAGGCGATCCAGCCTTTGCTTGATGCCGTTGAATCAATGCATGCATGGTTGGTTGCTTCAGTTTGGGAGTTTTTCGGAGCATGCGAAGGTTGCGTCAAACAGACTCTCTCTTATGCTGAATATGAGGCATGCCCCTCTATGGTGGATCTCGATGTTTGATTTAAGCACAAGTGAGTGATGCATAGATCTATGATTGTTCTCACCTCATACCATGGCCAGTCCATCGTCACTGCATGCATTACCATTTGCCAATGTTGCCGCCATGGTTGAGGCAATTGTCGGGGACCTGGCTCCGGTGTTGCAAGTCATGCTTGGGCTTAAGGGATGCATGTGGAACCGGCTTTGCCGTTGTCAGGGGAGCATGGGGAGGAGGTGCTCGATTGTGACTTTGGCTCCCGTTCCAACCACTCTGCAGCCTAGCCAAGTGTTTGAAAATGGAGAGAGGAGTTGTCTTTTAATATTCCTATGGGTGAGAATATTGTTGTGGCCGGTGTGGTTGTGCCTAATCCCGAGGCCCTCTTTGCCGCTAAGCTTTATGATTTCCTCATCGAACTAGATCCTACAAAATATGAAAAGACGATTGGATGCCTCTTGAAGAAAAGCGCATTGACGGACAAATGTAAGTAGGGCAGTGCAATGCTCAAGGAGAAATCTAGTGGGAGCAAATGCAAGAAGGGTGGTGCTAAAGGGAATGCACAAGATGTTTCATCATGGATGATTCTAGTTTTGTGGGATGTGTACCTGGACTCCGTCGATGTGTTTCTTTCTCTCTCTTTCTTAGAGGTGTGTTTCTTTCAAATTGTAGCGATTCACCGGGTTTCCTTTGCTATGTTGAGACTCGTGCTTTGAGGGATGGCAGTAGTATAATAATTCTACATATACGTAACATGTTAGGTGATCCTATGTAACCTTCCCTCTAAATATCCCCTCCCCCTGATTTTCACAGGATGGCCCCCCTTCCTCCCATTATTCCAATCCAAACCTGCCAAATCATCTGCATCACGTAAATCGTATGTAGCTTTGCGTGGATGCAACATTCCTTGCAGTAGTATCATTGGGCATGTTTGTCGGCCAGCCACCGTGGTCGTGTGTATGTGTGTGTTTGTTCAGGCAAGATCGTAACGCCTTTCGTTCGATTTTACATAATTAACTGTGCAACTCTTTTCTCATAATATCTTTAGAGTAAATTTGTCCAACAATGAATCTGGGATACTGGCAGAAAATGGACCTTTAGTTCCAGTTATGGAACCGAAACTAAAGGATCGGGACTAAAGCCCCCCCCCCCCCTCTCATTTAGTCCCGGTTCTG